CGTTGGTAAGAAGTAAGCTATTTCTTTTACACACAAAGCCTGTCCTACCGCTTCTCGTGAACTCATTCGTTTATACATTTTAATTAATTACAGAATAAATATTGAAAAAATTGCAAAATGGTATATAACTTTTATGATATTATTTTGACCCGTTCTACTCGTACACGGCGATTGTTCGATCAGTTACCGAACACCCTGTGTATATAACAGTTCACTTCATTTTTTAAAAAAAGAATACTCTTTAGCTAAAAGTGTTCGCTTGGAATATGGGATTATAGGAAATAGCACCTTGCAGACAGAGTTCTCTTCTTTTCTGGATGTACATTTATCCATGAGAGAAGTTTCAATAACGTTTGTAGTTATCGCTCGATCTCGCCCAGTTCATTGTTCTCCTACCATCTACTGCGCGTTTTCGATTACGAGTATTCGATACTCGCTGCAAAGTTGTCGTTGTTATCGTTAATATCGTGGCGTGTGCTACGTTACACCCGCATGATCGCGTGAACGTAGCAAGTGGCGTCTACGTGCCTTCCTCCGGCGGTTCGGATTTCCCTTTGCGCAGCCCTTCTTCGTAAGAGAACGAGAGATAAAGAGAGGAAGCTAAGGAAGTCAAAGCGAGACGGTGGATTTGGAGCCGAGTGTCGGATCCGCCGCCGTCGTTCACTTCAATGGAGGCCGTTTAAACTTTTAATGATCGTCGCCGGTCCTCGAGCAGCGGCATCTCTGCCGGAATAAGCCCCTCGAGTCGATCGTGCACGAGCGTCGGTGAACTCTCTCGGCCTCCGCTCTCTCGCCCTTCTTTCTTCATCTTTATGTAGAGCGAAGGATTTGCCCCTCCTTCCGCTCTGGAACGTCTTCAGACGGCGGAGGCTTCCCCGATATCTCCGAGCTCAACATGTACGATTTTTATTTTCGCCGTTTGTGCCTCGAACGTGTTTATTCCGTTTCAAACTTATCTTCCCGGTTTAAAGTAAATGAAAAGAAAGAAACATCGATTTATCCCTTCACGATTTAGATGTGAAAATCGTTGACGCGACACACACACACATAAACGGGTTACAAAACTGTTCGACAGAAACTCGACATTGTCGAAAAATCGGTGGAACGACATACTCCTGCAGAGTACGGAATCTACTTTGCTCCTCCACCCTCTTCCTCGTCCTCTACTTTCTTTGAAGAGGCACCCCAACATCGGCCGCCACCAGTCGAGCGGAACTCCCTCCTGCTTTCCCTATTCACTCCCTTCACGATCTACCCGTCGTTCAACCCCGACGAGGAGCGTCGTGTAGCCTAAAGACACGGCACACAGCTAACGACGATCGTCAATTAACTTAACAATGCGAGTTCGAGACGACGGTCCTCGGAAATTCCGTGCCAAGCATCCAAAGTTCGAGCGACGCCAAAAGTCCCCTCCGTCGCCTCCTACGTTCGATCTTAATCGACCGAAATAATAATTTCCCTCTCGATAATAATTTCCCTGTCCCGACAATTGTGACAGATAATGCATATTAAACGATATACGCGGTGATTATACGTACAAAGACGACATGACGAAAGACACAAGACGCCGCACAACTTCGGAAGCGACGCAACGCAAACAGCTTTCGCGAACTCTTACAAGAGGACAGCAACCAGCGAGATCGCTTCCTCGCGAGCGCTTTTTGTTCGCACGCACAATGCCTGGCCACCCTCGCTGTACAGCAAGGGACAAGGGGTAAGAATAAGATTGAGGGTGCGCCGGAGGGTCTCGATCTTCCGGAGGGTTACCGTCACGAAGACGTTAAGACGAAGAGCGGTCGAGAACTGAAGACGACCAATTGATAGCTCTTTTCCCTCACCCACGATACATCAAAATTGATCGCATTCGCCCCAATATCTCTCTCCACTAGATTATATACAAGATGCTCCGTGCACCTCCAGCCTTTCGCGAACTCGGAGCTCTCTAAAGTAAAATCGGTGCATTCTTCAGTGAAGTGCTGTTGAAGGTATAAGCACAGTAGCGCCAAAACTGATGTTTTAGTTATAAGTGTAGCACCGCAATCGGTAAAACCTTGCCGGAATGGCTTAGCTAAAAGTAGCGACTGTTTATAAGAGCGAGTGGATTATTTCTAAGGGAAAATTTCACTCAGCTCTTTTCGGTTTTCAGCTCGCGATTGCGATCGTTGGTGTTTCAGGTACAGTACACAGGCTAAAATGGTGGACACGGGCACAGGCACGCTCTATATCATCGGCTCGTTCAAGAGGATGACAACCGATCCTGATTTCAAGGTAACAGGACCATACGATTCGATAGGTTGAACTTATCTGTCACCCTTTCTATGAATTTTCCTTTTACTTGATAAATTGTTGTTTTTTCATTACATCTCTACACGTCAAGTGTAATACGATGTACCATGCATTTAACACGCTACTCTTGTTACGTCGATAATGAAACGCATAACAAGCTACGCGGATCCCTTCGTAAAGTCGATAACACGGCTTGTTAATTGCCGACAAGCCCGCTGCTCGTTGCGGCTCGTAGAGAAACAACCTTTAACCTTTCCGGAGACTAGACCGCGTTATATTTTCCCGTACACCATACTCCCATCTCACCTTGACCCGAAATTATTTAGAAACCACCAGCGGCTGTGCTACCATAAATTCTCTTCCGCTGGAAATTCTTTTTTCCTCTCCCTCTCTCCCTCTCTCTCTCTCTCTCTCTCTCTCTCTCTCTCTCTGCTTCTCTTCCCCTCACGCGAACTTGCATGAAAGCAGACGTATATAATTCTCTCATTATCGCAAACGAAATATTTAATTCACAAGCGCAGATCGTATTTCATTCCGCGCAAATTTATTTTCCGTTTCACGCCCAAAGGGCGAAGTTCGCACGGTTTCCCTCGCGGTACGATGCACCGGGCGCGTTTTATCGGAAGCTCGCAGTCTCTCTCTCCGCTAGCTAATCTGCAGATTGCCGGATTACGAGAAACTTTGTCCTCCGTGTGATATTTTCGCTCGAGCACGGGAGGAACGGGGACGCGGAATGCATTCACAGAGCGAGCGAGCGAGCGACGCGGCGAATAACGTATCTCCGCGCGCGAATACATAGTGGTGAGTGCGCTCAATTTTTAGACACATCCATCGCGCGGCGGAGGAAGCGAGGGGGCAAAAAGGGCTGCGACGATAATTAAATAAATACAGTAACGCGGAAAACTTCATATCGCTCCCGCGCGTTGTAACGACCGCTCGCGTGTTTTCGCAGAAACAGGTCGAGCGCCAGTTTACGAGGGGGAGAGAGAGAGAGAGAAAGAGAGGACAAATTAAACAAATTAAAGGAATCGTGTTCGTCCGTGACGTAGCCGCGCGCGACGTGCGACGCGAATTAACAAGATCGGTCGACGCTCTCACGGGATGAAAGATATACCGCGCGACAATCCGGTCGGAGTTATCGCACAAAACCGAGAAAACACGCGCGAAAGCGGGTCCTGTGGTGCTTCCCGATAATAAATCTCGTGCTCGTCAAACATCCGGTTATCATATTTATCACCGGGAATTATTACGTCACGCTCGCTCGCCATCGTAATTACAACGGTGAGTCCCGTGCGCCTGAAAAATACGATTCCACGTCGTAACGAGAGCTTTAAACTTTTTATTGGGAAACGCGCTCGCTCATCGCGCTGTCACGATTACACACTCGCTCGTGCGCATACACACACACACACATATACACATACATATGCGCGCGTGCTTTGGAAAGCATTATTTTACGAATGGGATTTTTTCGTCTATTTTTCATTTCGCCCCTTTTAATCGTGCGGAACGTTCGACGCGCGAATTCGGTGCCGAGACTCGGTCCCGAAGGGGGAAATAACTGTCCGAGTAACAACGGGGAGATAACCGATAAAAGGCGTCGACGTGTCTCGCATATGTCCGTAGCACGCCTCGAGGACATCGCGACGTGTTTTCGCGACATTTATCGAACCGGCGGGAGAAGAGTCACGTCGCGAACAGACTTTTTCCGTGGCGAACAGAGAGAGAGAGAGAGAGAGAGAGAGAGAGAGAGAGAGAGAGAGAGAGAGAGAGAGAGAGAGAG